GTTTAACCGTATAATACAAATAAACGATTAAAGACGATTAAACGAATAACGGTTCAACCCTTATTAAATAATGTACATTATATCAGGTCATCGCATCAAATGCAGAATACCGAAAATCATTAATATTCATCTTCAAACGATAATAATTTCCTTCTCTATATCTTGCAATGTCATAAAATGTTGCTTGCGATTTTTATCGATACCTTCACATGTTAACTCTTCAAAATTTTATAATATGCCCACAATTCATTTCTTCAGTATACTCCACAATATTTCCAATATTTATTCATCCGACCCGTCTAAAAAAATCTCACCCGATGAGTGAGTGATATTTTACCCGGGTGGAATCAGGCGGGTCACTCGTCGGATGAAACATGGACCATCCGAGTAGATCCAAAATAAAAAATAAAAAAAATGTTCGTATTTTATGTTCGACCATTCCGGAGCTTCCCAATAGCCAATAGTAGGCGTATTCTATCCACAGATGACCCGTGTACTGGTCTACAGATGACTATACATGGGTGTCTAAATTATGGGTTATTTACGACAGACTGCATGACGAAATTTTTTTAATATTTTCGACACAGCATTTTAAAATGCTATGTGCCTAAATTATTTTTGGTTGCCGATAGTATTATAGACCTTCGATATTATTATGGCAGCTATATTATTATAGACTGCCGATATTATTATAGACCTCCAATATTATTATAGACTGCCTATATCATTGCTATTTTGTTTAAAAGAGTATTCACATTTAATGTTATAGCAAAGGTATGATCTTTGAAATCTTTAATGCTTCCTATTGAATATGATTATAACATTGAAGATTTTATTAATGTACCTACAAGTAAAAGGCATAAATTTTAGTTTTTTATTTTAAACATTACTTTATATTATTAAAAAGTCCTTAAACAGGATCTTTTTATTAATCACTAAATGATGTATTTTGTTATTGGTTCCTTTTCATAACTATCTCTCTAATAAGATATTTCCTATTCATTCTATTTTTATCATCACAAACAAAACTTGAAATTCTCTTGTAATTGTTATTTAACAAATCACCAAAATATACTTTTTAAACAAAATTGTATTCCTGTTAGGGCATATCTAAAGATGGCCAAGAATCGGTTTAGTAAAAAAATATTATCGCAGCGTTTGAGGTCAAAATCCTGAGCAACAGATTATCGAAAAAACATAACACCAACTAAATTGGCCAGCATTATAGCTAGTGCCGGCTAACTTTGTTGGTATTATTTCTTTCGGGCCCAGCTGATGCTGAAATTTTGTTCATTTTATTACTAAATTTTTAAAATTTTTGGGGTGCATTTTTTTTAGTCTTCATATAATAGTTTGAGTTTAGGGTTGGTGTTTATTAATTAAAGTGTATAGATGGGTTTTAGTAGGTTTTATAGCTCTAAATAGAGACCCAAAATTTCAGCATCAGCTGCGACAAATATTATTATTTGGCTTTAATTCAAATGTGTCGAAATTTTTAAATTTTGCTAGTATAATTAATTTTAAAAAAATCATTTCCTTAAATAAGTGCTTAATATCAATAATTACTAATCGAAAGTACTATATAATTGTATACTACTTACTACTCACATAAGAAATCATATAATAAATCATGTTAATGCATCAGCGATTGATTAATTAGTTTGCATCCATGTTTGATTCAAGACAAAAACTCTGCACTAATAATTACGTATCGAACAGCTAATAATTTTATTATTAATTAAATAATTTGAAACGGCGAAAATATTTTAGACATCCTAAAATATTTTAGACACACTAAAATATTTTAGACATCCTAAAATATTTTAGGCACCCTAAAATATTTTAGACGTCCTAAATTAATTATGATTTAGGCTATCTAAAATAATTTAGCCATTTAAATTTACGACATGGTCAAAATATTTTAGACACCCATGTATACAGATGACCCGCGGGTCAACCCTGGGTCACCCACCCACCCGAGTCGAAATACTAGGTATGAATAATAGCCGCCAAAATTTATAGTAAATTTATGTTTTTATTATAATTATTATTAAAATTCATCATTTTATAAACCATTTTCTGACTATAAAATGCTAAGTAATCAATCATATTTCAAGCTATCCTCTGATGATTCAGTTTGTGTAGATTGTTTAAAGTAAGATAACAAAGATGGTTGATTTGACGATATCACAGACTTTTGCTTTCGTTTACGACTTTTAAATTTCACAGACTTAGATGTCGTCAATTTCTGCTTCGCGGCTTGTTTCCCAAAATTACCAATATTAAAGTCTGCATTTTTTGATTTCGATAAGTTATCATACGATGCCTTTATAGTATCGGATCCATTTCCTGTTTGAGAATTATCGTCTTTCGTATTTGGTTTGTTAAAAAAGCTTTTTAGCGTTTGTTGACTTCCATTAAATTTTTGCATATATTTAGCACAAAGTCGCAGCGCTTCAGGTTTTTCATCACTTATATTCATCGATAAATTGATTTCGTTTTTAAGAATATATTTATGCCCATCTTCTTCAATTTCATCATGTAATTCTCCAACAACAGGACAATGATCTGACCCCATAACTTTTTGCTCAACAGAACAAGATTTGAACCATTTTACTAAATCTTGGCTGACAAGTATGTAATCTAAACGCGTTCCTGATAAGTGTAAAAAAAAAAAAATTTCCTTATTACAGATGAAGATCAAATATCCTAAATACATCTTTTGTGATTCGTTAATTACCATAGTTCGCCGGTCTTTGGAAGTTGTTAAAAATATTGTTAGTAATAACCTACATGGTCAATATAATATCAAAATATTATCGTTACCTCGCATTAATCAAAGTATTCCAGCCTATAATAATCAATATCTATAAGCGTCATGTGGTTTAATAAGTTTATGAATATTTTAAATATGAACTCACATGTGTACATTCCTTTCTCATCAGGGTGAAATTTGCGAAATAAATCTACCATAGGGCCATTCGGTGCAACAAACTCATCAAACCATTTTCTAGCGGGATGATCACCAAATGATTCTAGCTCATACTCTCTTACTGATCGTTGTGGATCGCAATGATCAATCTCTTTATGCGTTACGTTCATATCGCCTAATATAATTACCTGCCTACCAGCTCGCAATAAAGCCTCTACACGAGCTTGCAGAATTTTGTAAAAATTCATTTTGAAAGGAAGGCGTTCGGAACTAGATTCATGAGGACAGTATAAATTAAACAAAATAAACATTTGGAAGTCCAAAATAACACATCGACCTTCGGAATCAAGGTCCAAAAGCTCGTTGGTAGTAAGACCACTTATTCCAGAGCGCATTCTGGTGTCAGATAGAGACTGATTATTGTACTTTATATCCGCGGGCGATTGATTAAGAATGCCCGTAATGCCTTCTTCAGCAGCTACGGGAGTGATTGAACTTGTTTTTACATAAGTGACAACCCCAGAATATGCAGCCTTTCCTTTGGCAAATGAAAAATACGCGTCATATCCGGGAATGATTGCCATTGATGCCTCCAGACGATCCAAAGTTATTTTTGTTTCTTGAAAGCATATTATATCTGCATCAAGAGTTTCTAAAATAGTCTAAACAATTTGGAAAAAATTATGAAAAAAGTTAGAACAAAACAAAAACGGTAACAATTAGCAACAAACCTGATAACTTTTGTGCTCACACCAACTAAAACAGCAATTATATATATATTAACGTTTTAAAGTTTTAGATATATGCCATATAAAACACTAAAACCAGCTTACGGGTAATACTGAATGAGAGATCTCAAGCCGTTCACGTTCCAAGTAAGCAAACGCATTAATATAAAATATATTTCGTGTCAAACTTAGATCAATAAGTTGTATGTTACGCAAAACATTGTTTCACAACAGATGCATAATGTAGATAATAAATATTCGACGCAGATGTATTTAAAAAATTTAAAAACTCCACCCTTTTCTCTTCTTTTTAAGCAATGTCAGCACAGGTTAATAGACTCTTTTGTACATTATTTAATAAGGGTTGAACCGTTATTCGTTTAATCGTCTTTAATCGTTTATTTGTATTATACGGTTAAAC